CGAAATCATATTCCACTTATCAATGTTGCAAAGGCGTACCAAAAAAATTTTAGTTATTATTTAAACACATAAGAAATTACGTAAAAATTAAATCTAAGACCGATATAATTATTAAATTATCAGCTGTATTTCAACAGTTATCTTATAGTTGTCTAACAAAATAAAGTAAAATTTTATTCTTATTAGAGAGTACCTAATACAAAACTTTGGAAAATACTTATTTTGTTCATTAGACTAAAAACAATCTGAAATTTTAACATACGATCTCGTCAGTACACATTATTCTCTATTTATAAAATTGCTGTGTGCTGTAAACGTTATATTTGTTCTTTTTTAACTTAATTTGTGTTAAGTTGAGTTAAGTTTCCTTGTCTTTATTTGTTTATATAAATATGAAGTTCATATAAATTAAAATACAGTAAACTAAACTATTATCATGTGAATGCGTTTATATAATAGTGCATTTGTTTATTTCAATAAATTGTCGAAATATAAAAAGAAGATGGCACTAACTCCCCCTCCTCAGTCCTAATCCCTTTTGGGATGTGGTGACACCATCAAGCCTTCACAGTTTTTTTTAGGATTTCCCTCCATCCTTCTCTGTCCTGGGCTAGTTTTTCGCCTTCATGTAACCCTTGGTTAATCAATGTTTTAGTTTGATCTACCCAACGGCTTGGAGATCTTCCCCTAGGTTTTTTTTCTTCAACTCTACCCTCGATTATCCGTTTTTCCATCGTGCCTGTTCTTCTAGCAATGTGTCCAAAATACTGCAAATATCTCCGTTGTATTTGTTTAAGCAATCTATCCTTTACTTTAAGTTGTTCTAGTATCGATACGTTAGTGCAATGATCAATCCAGGATATTCTCAACATGCGGCGGTATACCCGCATTTCAAAAGCGTCCAGTTTATTTTTATCCGTTTTTTTTAAGATCCACGTTTCGGATGCATATGCCACTACCCTTACCAGGCACTAACTACTAAAGAGTTAATAGCTTTGTTAGAAGAAGACTCAGATTTGAAAAATGCTGACTCACTTAGTGCGGTTTATTTGCCGCCAAGATTAGATTAGAAAGTTTCTGATGTAGAAGACATTGATAATAATATTTTTTGTGAAGAATCAATAAAATCGGATATTGCAGGTACATATGAAATACAAGTAATTGGGAATTCTGACGATTCTGATTATGATATTCCTCTGAAACTCAGATAAAACGTCCAAAGAAAAAACCAGGCAAAAATAGTAAATCCAAATTTGTCTCAAGTTGTAACAACAGACACTCGTTCATACTTAATAGTAATTCAACATCAGTCTGATTGATATTTAGCGAATATAAAAGCCAACCACGAAGGCAAGTCATATATTGAAGTTTTTTCACTCTTTTTTGATAAAAAAGTAATTGAGAGCATTCTATATTCATGCATCCCAGAATAACCGTCACGATTTTGAAATTAATAACATAGATTTAAATAGATATTAGATATTATCTGGTTACATAGATATTATCTGGTTTACCCTCTGCTTAAGTTGATATGCATTGGTCAAACGATGAGGATAAAGAAGTGCACATTATAATATAAAGCATGAGCCGACATAGATTTATATTTAGAATTTATAATAGTGAAGAAACCTCTACATCAGTGTCAAATTTAGTATATGGACGTCAAACTAAACGCTTTCTCAGATGAAACAGGATTCGACAATTTTGGCCACATTACAAAAAGAGACGATAGTGCGAAAATGTAGGATGTGCAAAAGTGATACTATTTATTTATGTAAAAGGTGTAGAATGCATCTACACCCCGAATGTTTTGAAAATTTTCACCTTAAAATTTTATTTACATTTAAGGTACAATATGTTCATATATTAAAAATTGTACTATTTTCAAATAGGTAAAAGAAATACTAAATAGGACTTACTCACAATCAGTTTAATTTAACTATCTAGACGACCGGTTTCGCTTTCTACAATATGCAAAGCATCTTCAGGTCTGTCGATACAAAGTTAATTAAATGCTGAAATAATAAAACCCATATTAGGGTGTTGTCTTATACAAATAAACAAAAGATAAATGCTATAAATTACAGTAATTATGCCAATATTATATGTCTGTGGGTTTTTTAAAAAAGAATAAACTGCTTAAGCAGATAAAGTAAGATCCACAAATTGGTATCAAAATATAAAAATAGTCTATTGAATTGTAATAAATTAGTAAATAAACAAAACATTACTTACATGCCGGTACACTATTAAGTAATGGTTGGGAGAACATAGTTCAAACTATCCTGTAATTACTGAATGGGGATCTTCAGTTTTTACTATTGTAATTGTTTGACAATCAACGGGGAAGTTTCTTGAGGAGATAGATTTTATCCAATGAAGTAGAAAATAGGTGTATTGTGATTTTGTGTTAAATGAAAGTGATGTTCTTTACTATTTAAACCTTTAAAAGTTATTTGTATTTATTCAAGAGATATATTTATGAAATGTGTGTTATTTATTGAAATTTTATTAAGGTGACAGTTGTATGACAATGAATGAAATTAGATGTACAATTGTGTGGGTGTACAAATTCTTTATCAAAGAAATTTGATAATTACAAGTCCCGAAATAATTTCTGTTTTAGAAGAACGAGGGGACGACACACATCTACTTCAAAACGGAAACAGGCTCGGTGATCTTGCTTTTGTAATAGATTTAACAAATCATTTGAATCTCCTTAATTTTGAACTACAAGGTAAAAATTCGCAAGCGCAATACATTCTTTTGTCAACAAATTGAAATTATTGATTAAGCAAATTAGCCAGAAAGGATTTAAACAAGTTTCCATCGTTGAAAAAAAGGGTAGTCGCTCATTTGAATTATGTTTATTACGTGACGGAGCTGACAGACGCTTCGCTGATTTTAAAAAAACTGACAGATATTGTAACATTCATGTTTAATCCATTTTCTTGTCAAGACGTGGAAAAAATAACCACTAAAACACCAGTTACGTTCAATATGGAGATCATTTTCGTCCAAAATGAGGCACTGAAAATAATTTCGGATATACACCTTAAATCCAGAGCGACCGATACGAAATTTTGGTCTTTCATATCGTCTGAAAACATCCGTCTTTGAGACAAGTAGCTCTGCAGCTCATAGCATTCTTTGGATCAACATATTTGTGTGAGTCTGCATTTGCCCAAATGATGATAGTGAAATCAAAATATCGTAATCGGCTAACTGAGGAACATCTCCCTTCATGCTTGCGTTTGACCCTCGGTAATTACGTACCATCATATGAAATACTTGTGAATGATATGCAATGCCATGCATCAACATCCAAATAAAATTAGTATGAAAAACAGGACTTTAATTAAAACTCTCTGTAGTTACAACTATTTATCAACTAGAAATGTGTAAACAAGTTTTTTATTTTCAAAATTGTTTTTTTACTATGCTTTGTTTTTAAACCAGGAGAAGTAAACTAAAGAGACTGATTCACACCCAAGAAAGTCATAAGTTACCAAATGCATTTTTTTTGGTTGATCATATTGGCCTTTGATGGTAATTAAAAAACATTATATTATACTAATACGTCGCTAAAGAGTTCTACAAACAACTGTCGGTTATATAAAAGCAGACTAAAAAATCTAAAAATTAAAAGAATTGCACAGAAACACAAAAAATTGCCAATATAGCTTAATTAACCTATGAAATGCCATTAGTGTCAAAATTTCATAACAGTGGAATAAACTTGCCTGAGGTTGAACCAATTACAAACATTGCGGCGCGGTAAATTTGAATTACTCCTCCTGGTTTAAAAACAGGGTATATAAGTCGATCTCCGGACGCTTGCAGTTTATGTGGTAGATCCCATGCAGTATAAGTCTGAGCACCACTGTTCTAGATCATAGACATTCTTTTAACAACCAATTTCAAATTCGTCACATTAGAAATGAAGGTCTTAAATTATCATTATTGGAATCTATGGAAATTAACAAATTAAAAAATACAGATATAATTCTGAATGACAAACTTGAGACAATCAGTTCTCCCCTCCTTAACTTATTTAGTTAAAGACTATAAAGTATTGGACTTCTTCTTCTTTATGTGCCGTTTTCTACCGAAGGTTGGCGACCATCATACGATAGGTTTCTCTGTTTTGTGCCGCATGAATTATGTTCGCAGCTTCTGGTATTTGAAACCATTCTCTCAAGTTTCTCAGCCAGGATTTCTTCTTTCTGCCCAAACCTCTTCTACCTTCAATCTTGCCTTCCACGATAAGCTGTAGCAGACTGTACTTATCATTACGGAACACATGGCCCAGGTATGACGCTTTCCTCCTTTTAACAGTTGTTAACAATTCCACCTCTTTACCCATTCGTCTTAATACCTCTGTGTTGGTCACTCTGTCTGTCCAAGGTATTCTCAGTATGCGTCGATACAGCCACATTTCTAGAGCCGCTAACTTCTTTATAGTTGCTGCTGTTAACGTCCACCCTTCTACGCCGTAAAGTAGCGTAGAGAGTACGTAGCATTTCGTGGCGCGCCATCGGAGGTTAATGCTTAGGTTGCGGTTGCTTAAAAGCTTTCTCATTTTGATGAATTTGGATCTTGCTATTTCAAAGCAAGCAAGCAAAATAGCAAAGTATTGGACGCATAACAAAAATAGCTCACTTGAGAAAGACTCTATTCCGAAACAGCTGTAGTGATAATTAATTATGTATAATAAAAATTTGTAGAAGAGTTGAAAACAAAAGTTTTCAGTGTTTTATTGTTTGGTTATTTATGTATTAAAATCTAGTTATTCGAGTCTCGTTTTGATATCTCCGCTCATTATAATCCACTAACTAATAATAAAAGTGACACACACAGTATAAGAGTGACAAAATTGACCTGACTATAACAAAACTAATAACCACAAGTGTGTCAGGAGAAGGTGAATGTTTCAAGCAACAATATTATCGCCAAAGTAGGTTTAGACATTTCTATGCTGAACGCGTTTGTTTGTCTATGATCATCTTGCGCTGTGTTTCTGTTTTGGTGCGAAGTTTCGATCGGTTTTAAAATGCCGCGCGCAAAAATTGAATTGGACGACGATAAGAAGTTTGCTTTAATGAAAGTGAGTAATTTTTATCTCTTTTAATTATTATAGTAGAGAAGAGTACAGTATTTATTTAACTACATAACAGATACAAATATTGTTTGTAGCAAGTCAAAAAAATACATAGTACATATTAAAAAGGAACATAAAACGTAACTTAAATATATACAAATAAGAACACATTTTAAACAGAAAAATATTTATGGCAAAGTTACGGTAAGCAGTTCAGAGGATGTCCTGCAATGAGCCATAATATATTCTTCTGGCAGTAAAAACAATGTTTTATGAGATATTTTCTTATAACTTTATCAGAACTGTTATAGCTTAGCTGTTTAATACTTTTTGGCAGAATATTATTATGGTTATAATTAAGACAATTTTTTCCGAAAGACTTAATCTACAGGGATTTGTTCGTAGGTAGTGACAATTTTGCGTATTGTGAACATGGACACCAGACTGCTTTATTAAATCGGCACGTTTTCTGTAAATTTCAGTTAGAACTTGAAATATCAAGAGAGTCGGTAGCAGCATAACTTTGAATTTAATAAAGAAAGGTCGGCAGTGTTCTAGATAACTAACCTCTGCTAAAATCCTGACAGCTTTCTTTTGCATTCTAAAAATTTGAAGTGCATTTGTTGAATTGCCCCATATGATTACACCATAGTTTAGGTGAGAACGAAATAAAGAAAAATATGTCATTTTTAATGTTTTAAAGTTGACAACCTTTGCTAGTTGGCGAATAAGAAATAATGAACTTGATCGCTTTTTCTTAAATTGTGAGATATGAGCCGACCAGTTAACTCGATTATCTATGGTTATTTCCAATAATTTAACAGTCTGTCATGTGGATCATTGTGTAAATTACTTGGAGATATAACAAAATTTTGCGTTTTATCCTAGTTTGGTTTTAGTTTGTTTGCAGCAAACATTCCATTTCAATCATTATTTTTCCTGATATAACGTATGTCGTATCATCTGCGAATTGTATGGTTTTGTACGGAGATATGAATTTAGGCAAATCGTTGACATAAATAATAAACAAAAGAAGTCTCAAGACCGAACCTTGTGGAACTTGATGTTTTACGGATAGAAAATCGGAAAGACGACCTTACTACCGCCTGGTGTCTACCACATAGATAAGAAGTTATAAGCTTAAGATGGATACCTTTGATTCCATAGTAATTTAATTTGTGGAGCAAAATGTCGTGTGAAACGCAATCAAAAGCATTTGACAAGCCCCTCAATCACCTAGCTCACAACATTAAATACCGCGTTCGTTGTAGAACGAGCACTTCTGAATCCATTTGAGAGTTGAGTAATTATTTGACTCGAAATAGGAATAAAATTGTAAATATAGAAGTAAAATTTGCAAATTTTTGTTGTTTATATATTTTAAACAAATCGACATCCTTAGTGGCATCTGCAATGTGTTTAATAAGAGAAAGATTAGATCTGTAAGACCTTAATTTATTATTAAACCACTGCACGGGTGTTTTTTCAGTAGTTTGTCGTACTTTTTTTAGTAGAAAATGCTTTAATATTAAATTGTTATAAGTTTTGGGAAGAAAGACTGTTAAAAAATTAGGACCATTATTAATATCTTAGAAAACACAGGTTTAAGCTTCTGTAAACCAGAAGAAGTAATAAGAAGATCGGGTACTGTCTCACCCAAAAACTTTAAATGACCTTATCTAGGAATGGTGTTTACAGTAGACAATTCGTTGCTCCCAATAGTCGGTTTGTATTTGTTTCCTTTTTTCGATTGAGTATTCCAAGATACGTGTCCTGTTTTTAGATTGTTTTTATTTTTATTTTTGTTTATCACTCATGTATGAATCAGGCAGACTTTTTGTAGTTAGTTGTGATAGTAGGAAGTTGAACAAAAACATTTTGAATGATTTTAAAATTATTGTTGAGCATCTACTATTTTTTTTATGTACCCAATACTCGTCTACTCTTTACTAGTCTATATTGTTCTCATTTCGCACTTTTATTTGTGATTGTTACCGCCAACAACTCCAAATTCGCAACATTTTCAAACTGGTATTATTTTCCATCATTTTTCAATCTTTATATACTTATTTCTCTTAATTTACGTTGAAGCGATGTTTTCTAGCTACTAATTAGTTTAAGGGAATCAGCTTTTCTCATGAGTTTTTCTCTGACGAGAGAGACAGTTCTGCAATCGGAAGACGATCAGTGGTAAGATCACGAAAACGATACAACTACAACTTATTGGATACACATTGAAAAACAGTCATGTCTATATAAAAAGAAGAAAAATAAGTTTTGATTGCAGCATGTCTTGCTAGCAATTTAATCGTATGTAGAAGAATGTATTAATATGTTGCTTTTCTCAAATGTTTTTTTCAACGGTGGAATAACAGCAATTTCTAGTTTTATTTTTTGATCAGCGGTTTAGTAAAATTTAATGACCGTTTGCCAAGGTAATTTATTGTTTTGGTAAACAAAAATTTTGTAGACGTAGTAATTATTAATTAATTAATATCCAATAACGAGAACATAATGGTAAATGTATAGATAAGACCAATTTTAAAGAAATTCGAAAGATAATAATATACTAAATGCACAAAAATGTTTTTGTTTACAAAATATGTTTTGAAAAAAGTAAGTAAATCTTTTGGGGATAAATAATCTAAACATAAAATGATTTTACTCATTCTACTCACTCTACAGTACAAGTCGATAAACAAATAAAGTCATGAATGAATATCCTTTAGCAGCATCAGAACACTGCTGTTCGGGAAACATGAGCCAGAAAAATGTCCAGCAAAAGGTTGGGGATGTTTTGGGTGTAAGAAGTATGGGCACACAAGTGGTGACTGCAGAAGTGGTAATGTCAATGCAGTGGAAAAAATTCAGAAGAAAAAGATGACAACAACTGATTGGTTTTAGATTGCTTCTCTACTTTCGAGTCAGAAAACGTTCCTCCAGAAAAGGTGGATAAATATATACTTATTTAAGTTATGGTATTTCGGAACATACTCCAATAACCTAAAATGCATACTTTGGGAGATGCCAATAAAATGCTATGCAGTAGTAGAATTCTGTCACATTAGCAAATATGTCATGTTTATATAGCCAATTTTGGGTTCTGTTTAGGTATAATACTAATGTGTTTCAATAAGGTAGTCAATTTTGGTCCCTAGTTTTATTAAATACATAACAGAACAGATTCTTTTTCTTCTTTGAGTGCCTCTCTTATCAGAGATTGGATATCATTAGGGCGATTCTAATTTTAATTACTGCAGTTTTGAATAATTCGTTAGTGGTACAGCCAAACCACTTTCTTAAATTTCTCATCCAGGACATTCTTCTACGGGCTGGATTTCAGCATACTTGGATTTTTCCTTGCATTATATTTTGTAGGAATGTGTATTTTTGTCCTCTTATCAGGTGGCCGAAGTATTCAAGTTTTCTCTTTTTTATATTCAGTATAACTTCTGGTTCGTTATTTATTTTGCATATTACCTCTTCATTTGTAATTTTATCCAACCACCTTATTTTGAGTATCCGGCGGTAGCACCATATCTCAAATCTTTTAAGATTTTTAACATTCTTCTGTTTAAGAGTCCATGACTCAACACCGTAAAGCAAAGTACTCAATACATAGTATTTTAACATTTTAGTTCGTAGATGAATACTAATATCACGATTACAAAATAATTTTTTCATTTTTATAAAGGTAGACCTGGCAATTTCAATACGTCTTTTTATCTCGTGATTTTGGTCACCTGTTTCATCGATGAGGGTTCCCAAGTATTTGTATTCGTTTACTTTTTAGAGTTGGGTACCGTTTATTGCGATACTAGTGTCATGTATTGGATTCTTATTAGTATAACTACTTATAATATATGTAGGTCATATATTTGTTTCTTTTGGCATCCATCCTTATGCCGTAGTTATTACATATCTCATTCATACTTTCAAATAGGTGTTGTAGATCTTCCGCTATTCTTGCCATTATCATAGTATCGTCAGCATATCGAATGTTATTGATAATTTCTCCATTAACCATTATCCCTTCGTTTGCATGTGATAGAGCTTCTTGGCATATTTGTTCGCTGTAGATATTAAACAAGAGCGGTGACAATATAAAACCCTGTCGTACTCCTCTACGTATTTCTATTTCGTCCGATGTTTGGTCTTCATTTTTATATTAGCTCGCTGATTCCAGTATAGATTTAATATTATTTGTATGTCTCTGGTGTCGATGTTCTTACCTTCCAGGATTTCTTTGAGTTTATTGTGGTGTACTTTGTCAAAGGCCTTTTCAAAGTCTATAAAGCAGACGTGTACCTCGTGGTTAACATCTAGACATCTCTGTGTTAAGACGTTTAAGGCAAAGAGTACTTCTTTTGTACCTAATTTTTTTCTGAATCCCATCTGTGTATCGTTAATATCGATATCTAACTTTTGATAGATTCGGTTGTGGATGACTCTAAGAAATATTTTAAGCAGATGACTCATAAAGGAGATTGTTCGATGACCTGAACATTGCATTGCCTTAGTTTTCTTCGGTATGGTGACAAACGTAGACAGCAACCATTCTTGCTATTATACCACAACAGATTCTACATAATTTCTAATGATATTAAACAGAACAGAGCCCAATATGTATCTCTAGCGAGTCATATTCCAGCTAATAATGGTTGAATAACTTCCTCGTTTATCTTTACTTTAATTTTGTTGGCTATAATAAAATAAAAAGACTATACAGTAAAGAAATGTATTAATAAATAAATACAAATAACTATAAATATATAATGAACAATGTATATAAAAATCAACAAAACTTGTATCCCTAATTGTCTTCATCAGAAGTATCGTCTCTATTTCTAATAAGATGCACCGTTTCCGCTTCCAATGCCAGTTTCCTGATATTAGCAAGACAACCTGCAGCAGCTTCTTGTAGCTCCCAATCTTTAGAAGACACTGCTCTTAGAAGAAAAGTCACTACACCGCTTTCATGCATCGTAATACAATTGAACGGATTCTTCGAGAGGTGGAACAATGCAAGAGCTGTGGTTCTATGAACGTTTGCATCATCATCGGCCATGTATTGAACTAGAGGAGTAATGGCTCCCAGTCTGTAACAGAAAGAAGATTAAATACATATAGGTAGCTTCACTTTAGTCTTTTATTGATAAAATTTTAAGTTCAAGGGCACAAATTATCAGTATTACTGCAGCCAGGTTTTGAACCTTGCGCAGGACGTCGAGAATGATCACTCTGTCTTCATAGAAGTCTTTGAAACTTTTATAGTATAGTTACCTATGGCAAATTGCTTACTAAGACTTCATATTTTGTCTCAAAACATAATTAAGGGTATGTTACCAAATAGAATATTATAAGTATCACAGCAAGAAAAGAAGAGTCGGCGAAGGAACCAAAATAACGGTCTACCTCGAAGCAGTGTTTTATCTCCTTTACTATAAAGTATTTACACTAAAGAAAAGTTCAATTTGTATTGAGAAATTATTATGTATAAAGAATGTTCAATTGTTCAATTATTATGTACAAAGAAATTGTTTCCGATACTTGAGTCTTAAATTAGATCGAACGCTCTCATTGAAACAACATCGTTATCAGCGGAAAAGCAAAATAAATTTGAGGAATAACATTATACATATAACAATAAATTAATGGAGAACACAGCCACAAGTATTGAGAAAATCGGTCTTAGTACTTGGTTTTATGACACTGTTTTAGCTTCTAATCCTGAAGATCGATACGACGTAGCTAAATTAGCTTTTGGCGAAAAATTTCAACCTTTTTCATTTTATAGCCTGTTTGCAGGATCCAGTAAAAGTATTACAGAACATTATATTCATAACAGCTTTGATAACATTGATGAAAATAATGTTACATAATATATTATTTCAAACAAAAATGAAACAGCTGAACAACAAGAATTTTCTTTTGCAGATTAAAGTAATATCCTACAAAATAAAAATATCCATTTAGAACTGATTCATAAACATTAAAATTATTGCACAAAAGATTATCCCACTTTAAAATAAAAACGGTTGGGAAAAGTTTTTAAACACGGCAGGAATTTCCTCAGCAAGGCGATTTAGACACAAGGCCAATATAAGAGTGCAACCAACTTCAATCAGCCAAAGAAAGTTGGGAGTTACTAGAGGGTCAAAAAGATTACCTTTTGGACGACCACCTAAAGATGATCCTTCTAAAAAAAGTTAAAAAGGCGTCACAACATTTTATCCAACATCGCAGCAAATCAAACAAATGCAACTAAATATGTCGAAGGACCTTTCGCATAGATATTAAATTTTAAACATTGATTGAAACATAACCGCGTACCGCAAAGGACCAATAGAAAAGTCTTAGGTGTTAAATACATATACGGAATGTTTAGATACGATAAGATGTGTTCCAGACACGGAAAGTAGCTATAAATATACTTCATCATATCTTGCGATGGATTAATCATATAGTGAAGATGACTACAAACTTTAAAGAAGAGCTCTAGATAGTAAAGACAAAAGGAGAAGCTACGGAGGAGAAGAAAAACTAAATTGATCAGCCCTAAGCATTGACAGTCATCAGAATTTGGGGGATAGTGAAGTAAGACCTCGCATGTTAGAGACAAAAATTACAGGACGTAAGGCTCAATTTAGGCTGTAGAGCCATTGGAAATGAAATAATTATCCACTTTATATGCAATTATGCTACTATAAAAGATAATATTGTATACCTTCCAAACATTTTGCAGTTGGTTCCCCACGCACAACAATAAGCAATAGCTGAAGCCAAATGTTGTCTTAACTCCACATCATCTGTATTCACCAAATTAACCAATAGTGGAACTACCCCGTGGTCGGTCATAACTGCCAAATTTTCAATGTCTTTAGCTACTTCGGAAACAGCTGCACACACACATGCTAGAACGTGGTTATCGTTGGATTTCAATAGATTCACGATAAGTTCCAATCCTCCGACGAAGCAACGAACCATTTCTCCGGAGTCTGTGGCGTATCTCACACAAGGGACAAGGGACCAAGCGGCGTTAGCTTGAACCTAAAACAACAATTCAAATTTATTTTGCTTTTCATTAAAATCGATACAAACACTGGTGACTAGATTATTACAGTCACGTTTTGACAAAAGATTCGTGTTAACAACAAATTAAAAAAGTATCTTATTCTGAGTAAAATCATGACACTGTTAATTGAACTAAAGAAAAAGTGGTCGAAAATAAGTACTACAAGAACTGAGCCTTGCGGGAGCCCATTGTTCAGTTTTCTTTTGTTACATTTAACAACTTCAGATCATTTGTTTGGTCGATCAATGAAGCAGTTATTTTGAGTTTTTCCATTCACAGTGTATTAAAGGCTGACTTTATGGAAACTTTATAAAGATAATTTTAAACAAAAATCTTTATTAGCACTTTCTATAGAATAAGCCGTTCTCTCACTAACAACTCTTCAAATAAACGGCAAAAATTCGATATCTTTTGATCAGAATGTCCTATCGACAAAAATCAACGTGCATTTTAAGTAAGGTAAGTTGGGGTAAGATCGGAGACGGGGCAAGTCCGAACGCAGCCTGTAAAATTGATATAGGTGTGGCAACAGCGCCGTAAACACTCGCCTCGTGGAGCAAGTAAAGGTATGCACTGCATAAACAAACGGCGGTTTGCTTCTAGGGTTTTTTATTACAGTTTTGAAGATGGTCCGAAAATATATAAGAAAATCCGACAGGTGCAGCAAATACACCAAGGAAGACCTTGCGAGTGCCATTAGTGAATTGGAAAGAGGATCAATAACCCTTCACGGGACAGCAAAAAAATATAACATCCCAAAATCGACGCTTCATGATCATGCTGAAGGAACCCATGGGTCAAAAAGTAAAACTCTGGGAAGGAGCTTGGCAATTTCCTTAGAGCATGAAGAGACTTTGGCAAATGGTATTAAAACTCTTGAGAAATGGGGGTTTGGCCTTTCCAGAAAGGAATTATTATTTATTGTAGCTGAGTACGTAACAAGAAATAATATTAAGACTCCTTTTAAAAATAATATGCCAGGTGCCGACTGGTTTATTAATTTTAAGCAACGACATAAACTTTCAATTAAAAAGCCCCAAGCGGTGGAGTATTCAAGAAAAAAAATGACTGATCCTTTTGTGGTCAACGATTATTTTGACCTATTGAAAAGAGTTTTAGATTACTTAAAATTAAACAATCTTCCACACCAAATATGGAATTTAGACGAAACGAGTCTGTCAATCGACCCATGTAAGACAAAGGTAGTTGGTGCTAGAGGTGCTGCTTGTTCCCGTGTAACCAGTGGTCCCGGAAGAGAGAACGTAACAATTTTGTCCGCTGTAAATGCTGCTGGTGAAAAAGCGCCCCCTTTAATTGTGTTCAAGGGCAAGAATGTATGGGACCAGTGGATGGCAGATCCAGACGGCGAAACAAATTTAGCATACGCTGCTAGTAGCAATGGTTGGATGGAGACTGATATTTTTGTCAACTTTATTAAGAAAACGTTAATGCCTGTTCTGGGTGATCAACGACCGGTCTTGCTTATATACGATGGGCACAGTACGCATGTAGATAATAGAGTAGTAACTCTTGCACAAGAAAATGACATAACTATCTTAAAGCTTCCGCCACATACCTCTCACTTCTTGCAGCCCCTCGATCTTGCTGTGTTTAGGTCATTTAAAACATCTTGGGATGAAGAACTAGTCAGTTGGCAAAGAAAGAATCAGGGCGTTAAATTGCCAAAAAAAGTATTTTCCGAAAAGGTGCGCAAAAAATGGAATAATATTAGTTCAGTTGTAATACAGAATGGATTTAAGAAAAGTGGAATATATCCCTTCAATCCATCAGTTATTCCAAAAGAAAAATACCATCCCGAAGCATTAAAACGATTTGAAAATATGAAGCAAGTCGCAACAGTGGTAACTGACGTAGCAAATGGTAATAATGAAACTAGGGACATATTAGATGCAGGACCAAGTAATGCTTCACCTACAAACACGACTAACAGAGAAACATTTGAGGGTCAGTCTGGACTAACAAATGTTTCATTTGAAGACCTTCTACTTGACACTGTGAAACAGAGCTCCGTAAGTGCTAAAGTCGTCAAAAAAAGACGTGTTGCAACAGGTGCTGAAGTGCAAAAAAACAAAAGTCTCGAATCTCAGAAAGTTCTAGCAGCGAAAGTGACATTGAACCAATGTATGAAGAATTTGATAAGGATTCAAATTTCCTTGATGAGAAACAGGCAGATGAAACGTTCGAAAACCTAGAAAAAAACGCTTGGATATTAGTTAAATACTGCAGCAAGAAAACCATAAAATATTATGTTGGTAAAATAATAGAAATAGACAAAGTTCATCGCGAATGTGTTGTAAAGTTTTTAAGATTTAATGAGAAAGTCAAAAAATTTGATTGGCCTAAAACTAACGATATTGACACTATAATCTATGAAAACATAGAAATGTTCTTACCGAATCCTTTACAGGATGAAAAAAATTATCTGCAATTCGCCGTTGAATTTAATGGACTAAATATTGCTTAAGATTTTTATTTTGTAAATTTTTCTAATAAAAATGTTAATTCTGTTCTAGTTTTACGTTGATTTTATTCATATACGGGGTAAGATCGAATGCAGAGAAAAATTAGACATGTATAAATTTATGGTTTAAATAGTAAGAAATTTACCAGGGGCTTGTTCGGAATTCGATGTTACCCCGTAGGTGTTCTTGAAATACTTATATTATAATTTTACAAGTTGTCCGACCTTACCCCATACGCGGGGGCAAATTCGAACGACTGCATTTTTTTTATTTCATTTTTTTTATAAACTTTCTTATTAACAAATATTGAGTTTTATCCTGCAAACTCTTTGCTTATGAGTTAAAGTTAAGCCATGCACATTTTGATAATTTTTTAAACTTATCTTATTGTTGTATTGTCAGGTAAATTTTGACTAATCTAAATTCCGTGCGATCTTGCCCCAACTTACCTTACAAAATACTGATTTTCTATGCAATTTTTAAATTTTGCCTATTTTTTACGATTTTCGTGAGATCAATAAAATTTATCACTTTCATTGACCAGTCACCATGGAATTTTCATTACTGTAGCCTAATATTCAAAGCCTATAGCATGGAATTTCGATTTTCATTTTTGGCAATAAATATGAGGCACGTAAAATATCCTTAGAGACCCTGAATTAAAACTTTTAGATTAAAATGGATCTAAAACGTTTAAAACTGCTTCTTTTCGAATGCACAAGACCGTGTTTTAAAACGACACAACTTCAGCTACAAATTTCATCTAATGCAGTCTTTATGGAAGCATTTTTCGTGACGTGAGATCATTTGTAAAGTAAAAGTTTAAATTCAGCGTTTTTTAGGCATATTTTAATTGCCTAATATTTGTTATCAGTACTTAAAATCAATTGATTTCATGAAAATCGTAAAAAATGGCAAAAATTGCGTAACATATTTAACAGCTTATAGAAGCTAAATGCATTTTCGGCAAAATGAAAAACTGAATGTGAAAGTTGAACTCTTGAGCTTTAAAATACAGTTTGATTTTGGTCGATAGGAAAAGATATTGAATTTTTCCCGTCATTCGACGGTTCCTTCTACAAAAAAAGTGGTAGAGTAGGTGGTACTATAGACTAGCGCGAAGCTTCAGACCGATTTCAGCATTTTTAAAATTTAAATAATATTTTTAAAATTGAATAAAGTAATTTTATTATTTATTTATCATTTTTATAGATTTTAATAAAACTGAAAAATAATTTTTGTATAACGGTCACCCCACGCCACGTAGAAAGTAAATGGACTCTTCGAATTGTTTACTGTGACTACTATTTCGTAAAAAAGCCATATTTAATATGTGCTAATTTAGAAATCTCCTCCAAATTACAAATATGAAAGTTCAACTTAAAATGTTCTACTCATAACTCTTTACCACAGTCAAGAATTTGCTGAACTAATATATTTATTATTAATATATGTAAAATTCTAAAATGCAAAATACTGAAATATAAGCATCATAATGACCTATAAAATCTCTCCTTAGAAAGGTGAAAGTAAAAGTAAGTTTTTTTTTCTGTAAAATAATGCTTATACCTATTACCCTGTGAAAAAAAAAATATTGGCAAAAAAACCCAATGCCGCACGTGTTTTTTGCTTCGTTTTTGAATATATTTTAATCAAAAAATTTCATTATATCATTTCGATAGGAAATTTAATTTTGAAATACTTGAAACAAATGAACCCTAGTATATAGGGACAAATTAACCCTTCTTCTTCTTCTTTCTTCTAGTATATAGGCTTTAAAGCCTATTTCTTCTTCAATATTAGCCTCCTAATTTTTTTAAATAGTCGCACCATCTTTTTCTTGGTCTGCCAATACTTCTTCGTCCATTTGGTAACTGATATCGTGCTTTTCGTACTATTCAATCCTCTGCGATTCTACTGATATGTTCGTTCCACTCCTGTTTTCGTTTTGTCACCCATCCATTTATGTCTACATCTCAAAGGCATCTATTTTTTTTTCTATTTCAGAGTCCATTGTCTAACTTTCACAGCCATACAGTAAGACATAAAAAACGTTACATCTAATAATTCGGATTCTAAGCTGCAGACTAAGATCTGATCTTGTAAAAATGTTTTCATGCTCATGAATGTTTTCCTTGCTTGTTCGATTCTTGAGAGTATTTCTTTTTTTTAGATTACACTCACTATTGATATTTGCTCCCAAATATTTTATGGAATTTACCTGTTCCATCATTTGTCCCTTGGCATACACATGTACGTTTATTGGTGTCTTTGAAAATACTAAAGTTTTAGTTTTGGAAACGTTTAGATGTAAACAGAATATTTCGTTGTGGTGAACTATCGCATTTATTATATTTTGTAGTTTTTGTGCGTTGCTTGCTATTAAGACAGTATCATCAGCATATCTGATGTTGTTTATACTGATTCCGTTTATCTTTATTCCGCCTTGGACCTGGTCTAATGCTTCTCGGAATATAGACTCCGAATGCGAA